GGTTGGTGGTTCAAACACACCAACTGCTCGTTGGAAACCCCTATACAGGGTCACTATGAGTCGAACTGACTCTGCCAGTTAACGACAACAACAAGGCTACTGTAGTGATAGAAAGGATGCCTCGGTGACCACGCAATGAAATGTGGTCGTGACAATCCAAAACCACTCTGAGCTCCCCAGGGCTCCTACACTCTGAACATGGAATCCCTGAGACCAAACTATCAGCAACCAGCTAGAATTCTCATTTCCCAGAACCCAGACAGTATAAAGAAACAGTTCAGTCTATGTGTCAGTATTGTTGTTGTTGTTGTTAAGTGCTGTCAAGTCAGTTTCGACCCACAGAAACCTGTATAGGGTTTCCAAGGCGCAGCTGGTGAGTCTGAATCATCAACCTTGCAGTTCACACCGACTCTGCAGTCTAATGCATTAACCCACAGCACCCAAAAGTTTCTGGGGAGAAAATGGAATGAAAAGATATTGGTTAATGGTAACTGATAAACAGAACACTAAGAATGAATAACAGACTCTGCAAAATTGATCTGGGCAGAGGTAGGCCTAAGAAAACTTACCTGGCAATGGAAAATACTGCCTAAAACAAACACTGTCAAAAGAATTTGTTACAACCTAAAAGATCAGCTGCCGAAAAAACAGAATTTAAAGAAAAAAGAAATGGCATAATTATCTCAACAGCTGATGGTCTGAAAAACTGCTACAGAAAATTTCTTACTCATTTCTATCATGAAATTCAATACACATCCAATGCAATTACACAAGACCATGTGTAGTTTTACAGGGTTTGAGGAGCTGTTCAGGCTAAATGCAAAATAGTGGGGAGACCAGGGATCCCCACAGTGTGTATCTGGTAGCTGAAAACCATCTGCATGACCAGTATCCCCCAGTTGACTTTGTGGAACTCTCAGTCTGATCTACTCACTTCCCAAACTATGAAAATATTCCTATAAATATGCCAGTGATGTCAAACAAATAATGATACGTTTTGTGTTCCCAGTTCAGTTATACTGGTACAGACAATTAAAGAAGGTCTTTGCACCATTTTCAAAGTGATGACCAGGCACCTAAATTTAGTTCACTCAAACCAGGACTAAACCAGAACATTTAGATCTAATGGGTCACTCAAGATGACTAGAACTTCCCAGTTTCTCCATGTCACTTCTGTTTGCCTTTTCTTTCTTTCTTTTTTTTTAAAAAATGTACAGTATGGTCTATGGAGAGGATTATAATCAATGTAATGAAACAAGTTATATGAATTGTTGAATGTGAAACTGATGATGTGCTCTGTAAACTTTCACTCAATCCACAATAAAAACTTTAAATTAAAAAAAAAAGTACAGTGAGTCACAGTGTTTAGATCTTTCTTCTCTGCATCAAAATGCTATTTTTTGTCTCGGAAGAGAATGCTATCTACATAAACAGGATTGGGAAGTTTTAATACCCTTTCCCCTAGGGTCTGACGTTACAAGCTACACTCAGCAATAAGGAACCTCAGTGGAGACGGGTTTTAACCCAGTCAGGCATTAGATGGCATTTCATAATGACAGCAGCTATAAAAACAAAAGTCAATTCAACGAGTGGACCATTTTTACAAAGCTTGCCTCTAACATGGAATAAATCTTGCCTTCAAGTCAAGGGTTACTGTCATCTCCTTAATGAGAAACAATCAAATCATTCACATTGAAAAAAGTGAACGTGTCAGAGAATCAAAGAATTCAGAGATGAAATAGCAAAATATCCTGATCCAAACCCTCTTAAGTAACTGACACGCAGGATAGCGGATCATATTCTGTTCATTCATTCAGGCCCTCTCTCTCGTCTCTCCTTCTAGCTTCTAAAACTAGTAACCTCCTTTTTTTTTAATATCTGTGCTCTCTCTCCTCTTCTAGACAACCAAGCGAACTCAAACCTGAGAGCCACCAAGTGTTCCTTCCACTTTGCAAACCAAGTCAGAAAGATATAACTGCTTAAAGGCTAAAAACCATTTTTAAAGATATGCAAATTATGCTATCACAGCTGACTTTTTATAGCACCAAATTACTTATTAGCTTCTGTGCTATTATTAGCATTAAAGATGAAAGACAGGTCTATGCGCTCACCACCCAACTGAGCTAGCAGAGACTCTGCCTGAAACATTTGTTTTCTAAGCTGCCACATTCCCCAGCACTCAAAAGCCTGGGTTAGCCTTTAGTCTTGTCCCCAGTTTTTACATCTTTTATTCAAGACAGAAAAGATTTGTTAAGATAGTGAGAGAGATGACTGTGATACCTTATACCAAGGTTTTATGCAAAAATTACATATTACCTTTCTAAGTCACAAAAGACTTAACTAAGTATGCTCAAAATATGACTCAGATAACCCTCATCCTGACATGCTATACAATATCATTTTTTTAAGCTTCTATTTTCTACCAGGAGTCCTGGTGTGGTACTGCAGAATAATGCACTGGACTGCCAGGTCCATTTGAACCACAAGTTGGGCAGTTCAAGCTCACTCCTTGGAAACCCTACACAGAGTCGCTATGGGCTTGAACAGACTCCACGGCACTTAACAACAATTTTCTACCAACCCTAAGCACACTGCATTTAATTCCTGAAAAATAATGGTTTTGGAAAACTGTCATACACAACTTGGAAATTTTTTCCACTTTAAACTCAAGGTCACTCGAATTCTGCATTTTTTTAAAAATGTCACAGCTAAACAATAGCGTACTACTCACACTCAAAATAAGAGAAGAACTTCTGACTTCAATTTGAAAATATCTGCATGGTAAGAATAAGAAAAGCTCACAGTAGATATTTCCCTAAGGTCAAAAGAAACCACCTCCAGTAATGTGGCAATCCATTAAGAAGCCCGGGAAATCTCAACATAAAGCAATCTTCTTGACTAACTCCTGTGGTTCAAATGTGGTAGAGAAGCTTGAGAATCATGAAGGAAATTAATGGAAAACCAACATGCTCCATGCTAGCAGTTTGCTTAACACAATATTAACAATGCTTGGGTGACAGGCCAGACCTAAAAGAGTAAGAAATCTAATTCAACCAAGGATTGATCTCTAACATAATTTGTTGTCAAATCAATTTCAGTACATAAGAGATCTGCCCCAATGCCTCCACCTGTGATGGAATATATATCACAGACAATCCCGATACTTCAGACCAACAATTTTCATCTAAAGCTATTAAATTAATGCAAACAAGAAGCCCATACCTCCTCAAAGTCACTAGTGGCATTCATTTAATTAGCTCACAGACACTAGGCACAGAATACAAATTTTTATATGGATCCATCAGGCATAAGCTTACAGTGGTCTGGCAATATTATAACCACTCGTTGATCAGAAGATAATATACATTATAGTTCAAGTAAAAAGGGTCCTGTCAAATCAACCAGATGTGAATCCACAGGAGACTCAGACTGCCAAAAAAAAGGCTTTCTTAGTTAAGCATACGATGCATAAGGCTTTTTTTTTTCCTTTATAAGAGGAGCTCAAAATAGATTTTTATACTACCAGCTGATGGACCTCACACATTGCCTTTTGAGCTTAAGCAAAAACAGGAAAAAAAAAAAAAAAAAAGCCTTCTCCCTCTACACAAGTAACAAAATCTCTTTATTCTGTATATTGCTTATTTAAGAGACAGCGCGTGGTTTTGGTTAATCCTCACAACCCCCGCAATGACATTTAATCAGGAGTGCATATTTTCTTTAGAGGATTTAGCTGCTTGTGAAAGCAAGCCTCTTCGTGTTTTTCATCTGATGTTTTAGAGATAGGTGAGAAACCTCTCCCTTGCTAACTGTGTATTTATGAACCACCATAACCCACAATGGGGAGCACAGTGGCTCTGTACAAAAAGCACTGGACTTCGAACAAGGTTGGCGGCTAGAGCTCACCAGCCGCTCAGACGTAGAAAGAGGAAGCTTTCTGCTCCTGCAAAGATGTACAGCCTTGTAAACCATATACAGAGTCACTATGAGTCTGAACGGACCTGACAGCACTTAACATAGCCCACTGGAGGGCTTCGGAAGACAGATGTCTTAGCCTTGACTAGAACATAAGCTGCTCATTGGTTAAAGATGCTACTTACAGTGAAACCTGAATCTTCCCTGATTCCCTGTTTGAAAGGGTAATATTTTGGCCCCTATGGAATGGTTACTGCAGGCCTCCTGGCTGGAAAAGCTCTTTACCCTGATACATTCCGGGCTTGCTGCTTCTTTCCCTTCATAATCCATAACAAATGTCCCTTCATCCGACAGATCCCCCTAGCTAAGGTAGCCCACCTTTCATTGGGACCCTCAGTACACCGTTATGACGCTTTGTTTTCACCCCAGCAGTCACCATCCTCTGAAATTGTCTGCGTTTGTCTGACTGCCAGATTCGTAGGTCCATAGGGAAAGGGCCCTGCCTGTCTCGTTCAACATCCCTTCCAGCACCTAGAGCAGAGACTAGCCAATGGATATCCATTAAATGAATGAACAGGAAGGGGGAATGGGACTGTCATCCTCGGTTTCAACGGACACAGAGACCGGAGGAAAGGAAATGTGAGGGGGAGGGAGAGAAGACCTTTCCCCCAGGAGACAAAGGAAGAGAGTCTGAGGTGGTCCGGTCTAGAAAAGGAAGCCAGGGGGAGGGGGAAAGGCTAAATCCACCCCAGGGGACAAAGAGTGGCTAGGCAGGGGGGCGGGGTCGGGGTGCTGGGGATGCGCGCGGAAAGTCTAGAAGGACAGCCTCCAGGCTTGCGATCACCCGGGCTGGAGGATAGGAAGTAGGTGGGGGATCTCGGGGGGGGGGATGCGAGCCCCAAGCGAGACGCAGGCCCACCGGGGGACAAAGAGAGAGCGGATCGGCCTCTGCGCCGTCGGATCGAATCCTCAAGGAGGCCCGAGACGGCGGACGGAACCCCGAGGGAGAACCGGGCCTGGTGTTCTAAGGGGCAGGGGGTTCCGCGGCCTAAGCCAAGAGGCTGCCGCGCTCCGGGGCGCTCCCGCACCTGGTAAATGGCCGCCCAGCTACCAGCCTTGTCGATCTGCTCGAACTCCTTTTCCATCTCCATGACGGGCCAGGGCGGCTGCTGCGTCTCTTCCTCCGCCTAGTGAGCCGGCTGCCGCTTCAGGCCGCGTCGCGATCTTAGCCTTCAGTCTCACTGCAAGCCTCGACTCTTGCCGCTACCGCCAGCCTAGCAGCCGCTGCTTCTTCATGTCAACCCTGCAGCCGGAAGTACGCACCGGGCCTGCCGAGAGCTACGCCCCCTAAGCCGGTAGACCAATCGGCACTCGAGGAGATCTGAAAGCACTTCCGCGGGGCGGAGTCGGGAGGAGGTGCCGGGGAGAGAAGTTGGTGGGGGCGGGGGAAAGTGGCCTCAGCCCCGCGAGACGTTAGGCAGAGAGCGCAACTCCCTCCCTCCGGGGCTTCAGGCTCGGGCGTGGCTCGCTCCCGTTGCCTGGGAGACCCCGGGTCACCCAGCCCACGGTTCATCGCTCGACTGGGCCTGGGTGGGTCTTGAATTCAAGTCTCAGCTAGGCTCGTTGAGTCACAGAATGACCTTGAAATAGTCACGCATCCTTCCTGAGTGCCAGAGTGCTGGCCTCAGTGCTCCAAGCTGGAGAATGGGCAGAGAACTGCTTGCCCCACTTCCTGTCTCTCAGCTCTGTCATATCCTTATGAAAACCCTTGCTGGGTTTTCATGAACTACAAGAGCGTTTTATAGTCCACTTAACAACAACAACGACTAGGGAGTCCTGGTGTGGCGCTGTGGGTTCATGTGCTAGACTGCAAAGTCAGTTGAACTGAACTGCAAGGTTGGCGATTCAAGTTCACCAAGCTGCCCCTTGGAAATCCTATACAGGGTCACTATTAGTCGGAACCGACATGAGGGCACTTAACAACAACTAGGGAAGAGCCTTTACTCCCCAAAGATAGTGTCCCTGTTTGAAATGAACGATTTTCCTTTGGAGTCTTCAATCCTGAGTACTTCAGGAGTGGAATCCTGAACTGGTATGATTTTCCGTATTTCCCAAAGTGTTAAGGAGAGCCCACACTGATCCTACTCAGACTGCACTCGGTGGAACTTGAATTCCTTGGTACATTAAAATCACCTGAGAAGTGTATTGAATGATGTAGGTTTCGGGAACCACCTCCAAAGTATCCGTTAACCTTTTGGTCTGGGAATGAGGCCCAGGAATCTGTATTGTTTACTGGCCCGCATACACATACGGGAAATTCTAACGCGCTGGTCTTTAAAACACACCGGGCTGCTCAAGTTGCCTTCCTGTGGACTCTTAATTTAAACCATACAGCTCAGGCGTGCCCATGGCGCCAGAGGACAAAATTTCTTCCTGTTCCCATTCCAGGCCTCCCAGAATGTCTACCTGGAATTCTTGGTTGAATTCCAACTTATTCCTTGAGTGCTGGTGGCAGGCACTGTACCTGGCATTCCAAGTACACATTCTCATTTAATCCCCTCCTCCCCTCAAAAACCCCATAAAATAGTCACTAACCATTGCCTCTTGACAGATGAGGACTCAAGGCAAAGTCAGTCGTCCAAAGTAGCAGTGCTTGTTGGTGTGGGAGACAATATTCTAACATAGCCTCCAGAGTAGTACAGACTTTGGAGCCAGGGTGCCTGTGTTCCCCATTCCATCACTGTTAAATATTAGCTGTACAGTCTTGGGCAACTTACCTAACTTCTCTGTGTCTCCTCTGTAAACATGCAGGTAGTTAAGGTCCCCACCTCAGAAGGGTGGTGTCAGAATTGAAAGAGTTAATACTTGTATGTTGAATAGCCTAATAAATATTAGCTGACATATTGCCGCTGCTGTGTGCCCTCAAGTGGGTTCCGACTCACAGCGACCCTGCATATAGGTTTTCTGAGGCTGTAAATCTTGTGAATAAAGTCTCATCTTTCTCTTACTGAGCAGCTGGTGGATTCAAACTACTGACTGACGTTGAAGTTAACAGACCAACATATAACACTTTAGCTGTCATGTTGTTGTTATTAAGTGCTGTCAAATCAATTCGGACTACAGCGACTCTGCATAGGGTTTCTGAGGAGTGGCTGTTGAGTTTGAACCACCAACCTTGTGGTTGAAACTGAACTTGAAGTCCAGTGCTTATCCAATGGCGCCACACCAGGATTCCTGCTGTCATGTTGTTGTTGTTGTTGTTGTTAAGTGCCGTGGAGTCGGTTCAGAGTCATAGCGACCCTGCACAGGGTTTCTGAGGCTGTAAATCTACATACCTCCAAATAATAACAATGGGAAGTAAGTGACTTTTAGTGAATGAATGAAATTGGTTTGATAGGAAATGCCTTTAGAAACAGAAGGTCCCAGGGAGGGGCAGTATTAACAACAGGTGTCTATTGTGGTGAAAAATTTGCAACTACACATTCAGAAGCTGCCTACTTCAAGTCTTGGCTCATTTAAGACTACTTGTTTTCTAGACTATTTGCTGTCTCTTCCTTCTGTTATTCTATTGATAGTTTGTAGATGAGTCCCCATGGTGTTAGATACTCCGCTGCTAACCTAAAGGTTGCAAGTTCGAATCCACCAGCAGCTCCTGGCGGAGAGAAGACTTGATGAACTGCTCCCACAAAAACTACAGCCTAGGAAACCCTATGGGACAGTTTTACTCTGTCACACGGGGTTACTAGGAATCAAAATTGTCTTGGCAGTAACCAACAACAACAACAAGTTTGTCTGAAAAGCATAGGACTGTGAACGCTTGGGGAAACAGAACTGGTTAATTCCTGGTTCTGTGACCATATTGAGCATAAGTGGCTCTCAGGTTTGCAGGGAGTGCCACCCAGTGACTGGAGTGACCATGAATTGAGACCAAAGCTATGACATCTTGGGAGGACTGTGAGACTCAAGCAGAGTCCAAGTTTGGGCTGGGTAGGACCTGTTTATTTCCTAGGACGACTGCAACAAATTATCACAAACTTGGTGACTTAAAACAACAGAAAGCATATTGTCCCACAGTCTCAAGGCCAGACGTCTGAGAAGGTGTCGGCAAGGCCAAGCTCTCTCTAAAGGTTCTCGGGGGAAATTATTCTTTCCGTCTTTCAGTTTCTCAACTTGTGGTAGCATCGTCCCAATCTCTGCTTCTGCTTCACACGGCCTTCTCCTCTGTGTCCTCTGTGTCTCCCCATCTCCTGTCCACCTACATGCCCTCAGACTCACCCTTTTAAAGACACCCACCATTAGAATTTGGTATGGGTGATACAATTTCCACTCAACTGAGTGATGTTGCAGGTTAAAGTACCAGACCACAAGGTCAGTTTGAACCACAAGGTCGGCAGTTCAAACTCACTAGCTGCTCCTCGGAAACCCTATACAGGGTTGCTATGAGTCAGAACCTACTCGACGGCACTTAACAATAGCTCACCTACAGGACTCCTGGTGTGGCGCTGTAGGATCAGCACTGGACAGTGAATCATAAGGTCAGCAGTTCAAAACCCAACTGCTCCTCAGAAAGCCTATACAAGGGTCAATGTGAGTTGGAACCGACTCGACAGCACTTAGCAGCAACAAAAACAAACCTACAGTGTGGTGGCACAGAAGAAAGACCTGGCAAACGTCTTCCATAAAGATCAGTGGCAGTGGTGATGATTGTGTGCCACTGAGTCGGTTCCGACTCATAGCAACTCTGTTTCGGCTTTCCAAGGCTGCAAATCGTGATGAAAACAGAATGTCTCATCTTTCTCCCGCGGAGTGACTGGTAGATTTGAACTGATGACCTTTCGGTTAGCAGTCCAGCTTGTAATCCGCTATGCTCTTAATTTAGCAGGCTCCTTTTCATAAAGGATTACAGCCAAGCAAACCCTCGGGAGCTCAGTTCTGCTCCATCAGTTGGAATACACTGGACAACAACAGATTGCATTGGATTTGGCCTACCTAGTGGATTTCGGGCCCACCCAGGTAATTCGGTTGATCTCATCTTAAGATCCTTCAATCAGTTAAACTACATCAGCAGAGACACTTTTGGCCATCTAAGGTCACATTCACAGTTACTAGAGGTTAGGTCTGGGAGGGTCATCACTCAACGCACTAAAGAGGCCGAGGAAGTTGATTCCAAATGTAACTGATCATTTCAGGTACCTGCTCTATCTTCCCTACACCCATTCTTGACATGGTGGCAGTTAGGGAGAGCTTTGAATATTTGGATGGTGAAGCACTCCTCTGATCCAGCACAAACCCTACTGCAATGATTACAATCTCCTCTGTGCATCATCATTCAACAGTATTTGCTTCCATTTCTCTGTTTTTCTTTTTTGGGGGTGGGGTAGGGGGAGGTGGGAAGATGTACACAAACACACTCAGGAATATATAATCATTTTAACAACCAAAGGGCACATTCTGCAAGCCTGCCTCCTGGCTGCCAGCACTCAGTCCCTTTCTTTCCATGAGTCTAGACTCCTTATCTGCTCCCTCTCTCCATGTCCTCATCTCTGCCTCTGTCTCTGGTGTTGGACCACTTTTTGACATGCATCTCTTCCCCCTTCAGATCTTAGGTTAAATGTCATCTCCTATCCAGGTCTTCTCTGACTGCCCTCTCTAAAATGGCCACAGTTGTTCTCTGCTGCATGGCCTGGTGTGTTAGCACCATGATATTCAGCTCTGTCTAAATCTTCTCTACTTATTTACTTCTTGGCCGGTTTCTTTTCTCTCCTCCCACTTACTGTTCCTTAAGGGCAGGGACCTCAGCTTCTTGTCTGATTCCCAAGCACCTGGTGTTCCTTTGGGAAGAGGGATGTGGATGTTGGCGTTGATCTGCAACGCTCCCCACTTCCCTGCCAAGACCTGGCCTGGAACCAGCCAAGTCCTGGTCTCCCCCAACAGTCTGCCAGTAGTGACTGGGAATCTTTCAGTGGTGACTGGTTAGAAAAATAAACAAATGACTGTGTGTGTCACAATCGCTCGAACCTCTTCCTGGCAGGACTGCCTGAAGGATGTTCTGGCTTCTCTGGCCTATCCTTCACGGAGTCCGCTAATGGAGGAAATCAACACTACAAATCAATGACCCATTACACTTTAAAAAATGTTCTACAGAGTGGTTAGTGGAGAAGAATGGCTGCTTACCAAACTTCCCAAGGATTACTGGCTTAGCAATGTCAGCAAGTTTCCTGGTAACATCGTTGGTTCTGGTCCTTGTCCTGGGAGACAGCACAGTGCTGTGATCTCAGGAGCCACACAAGCTCTCTACTCAAATATCACCACCTCAGGGCAG